TATTAATTTTTGTTCCTATTTACGTACCACTACTAAGTCTGGAATGAACTATCTGAAAACGTTTTCGAACAGGACAAAGAAAAACCGGTTACTATACTTCGATGCATTTGGCACTTATCCCAGCAGTACAGTTAAACAGTGAATTCGAATTCACAGCTAATCAGCGACAAAGAAATGAATAAAAATCTACGAAAAAAAAATGATACCTTTCAAAATGTATGAAGTTAGACTGGCCTTGACATCGCTCGTTTTCACATCACTGAACTGCGATTTCGCGTCCTTGTAGTATTCAACAAGATATCTAAAATAAACGTTTAACTGAAAAACAACAGTACCGTATCGGGCAATTTTTCGATATTTTCAACTCTCTCACTGAAAGAGACATCAAACTTGCAAAGAAACAAGCGAACATTGCTGACTGTCTTTAGTTCTCAAATGTATCAATTACTAAAGCTTAGCTCGGCTCGGCCAGGCTGGGAGACGGACTGCAGTGGCTGAAGGGTGATGGTAGAGAGGCGTAAGTAGAGGGAGAGGAGTGAGTGTGAAATGGGGGGTAGTGGTTTAGATCTCGAGAACCGAATGGGAAAAGGGGCGGAGCGGAGTACTGACTGGTGATAAGACAGGAGCTTTGGCTGCAGATAAAAACTGAATATGGACCGGGTTGAAAAGGAGAGCGGTAATTATATGAGCTTTTTGATGCTCAGTACAAAATTTGACGTCGAAAGGAAGTTAACCCCAAAAAAACGTACTTATTTTTGTGCTTGAGTTCGAAAATCGTAGCGTAGGGTTTTCTGCCCAGGTAAGGTTCTAAGTGTCAAGTTCAAAACTGCAACTTCTCCACAACAATGAGTTTCATACTGCATATAAAAAATCCACTCCCTTCTCCTTCATAATTCCTGCCCCTGTTCCCAATTCCTACCTACAACCAAGGCCTTTCCCAAGGTCTTAGCTCTTTTCCAATCAACGGCTCCGTCTCCTTCCTCCCTCCTCCTCCTCCACCTCCGCACTCAGCATGCCTCTCAACCTGGCCCAGTCGAGCTAAATTTTAGCAGTTGCCCAAATACAATAAAAACCCGAAACAATACTCGAACACAGCATAGGCAGCAATAAAAGATGAAACGTACTTTTGAACAATGCCATTTGTGATATCGGCTGAAGCATGCTCCCAGGAAAGAGAAAGGGACTGTTCATCCGGCCTGCTTATTATCAAATCCAGAGACTTCTGGGATACTGAAATGGAAGAAATCGCATCGGTGTATCTAATCATAAACCCAAAAAAGCTCTCCCTCTTCACAAACCTTCGTGCCATTCGTTCCGCCCCAGTTTCACGGTCATTTCAATAGTTATGCTACGTTTGATACTTAATGCTCACTCTCGAACTGTGCTTTGTATCATGAAAATTGAAAGAAAACCAACCTCCATCCCAAGATAGAGCGGTTACGTGCTCAGAGAGCGGCGTAAT